AGTATACCTTTTTCAAAATCAATTTTAACCCATAAGATTTAACTTTAAAAATATAAAATTTATATTGATCGATAGAGAATGAATTGAATTTTCAGAATCTTTTTAAATTTTAAAAATCGCATTAGAATTAGCCGAGAAATGATCAAGACGCTAAAAGTTGCCGCAAAAAATTCAAACATGTTTGAATTAAAAAAAGAGACGCCGGCGTCAAGACGCCGGCGGAAGACGCATTTTATGTAACCACTCAAAAAAGCGGCAAGACGCTCGGCGTCAAGACGCCGGCGGAAGACGCGGGTTATGTAACCACTCAAAAAAGCGTCAAGACGCCGGCGGAAGACGCAGTTTATGTAACCACTCAAAAAAAGTGGCAAGACGCCGGCGTCTCTTACTCTCCTCATTTCCCATTATCTTTTCTGCCGCAAGACGCGCGCGTTTTTTATGTAACCGTAGCATTAACGCCTTATTTTTGAGGATTTTTTTCCGTGCCCGCTCAAAACATCAAACGCTTAAAATATCTAGACGACTAAAAACGCTAAAAATATCTAGACGGGTAAAAACGCTCAAAACATCTAGACGACTAAAAAGGCTCAAAATATATTCGCTCAAAACATCAAACGCTCAAAATATCAAAATATATTTTTCATTTAAAGGGGACAGTTGAGTCCGCGGAAAAAAATTTTGCCGCTGCGGAGGAAGCCGGGCATGTCGAGCGGAACGACGGCCGCCGCTTCGCTACGGTCGCCGCGAGCGAAGCGAGCACGACCGCAGCGAAGCACGGCCATCGTGTAGCGAAGACCATGCCCGGCCGTGTCCGGACAAAATATCGAATCGTTAAAATATGGAATAGGCTAAAAAAGGGTTAAAATCTCGAATCGGGTAAAAATGGGTTAAAATCGCGAATAGGCTAAAAAGGGGTTAAAATGTGGAATCGTTAAAATATGGAATGGTAAAAATATCGAATCGGCTAAAAAAGGGTTAAAATATGGAATCGTTAAAATATCGAATTGATAAAATGTCGACACGGCCAAAATAGGTCAAAATGTCGAATTTTTTTAAAGATGCGCCAAAACCTTGAATCCGGGCGTTACCGTAATACCGACGGTATTTTTCGGTATTCCGTGTCGGTTGTACGGTACGGAATGCCGACCGATAAAATTTAAAAGCTGACCGTTATTTTTCGGTATTCCATACCGTATACGGTAAGGTCAAACTTTAGGTCTTAACTAAAAACTAATGCATACCACTCTAATTTTTCCATATCAGGATCGCGTTATGTTTTCCGGATCCGTACGATCATGCCGGACCGGATCCGGTCGATTATGCTTGATTTATCCGGTCCGGTTTTACTCGGTAAAGTACAGTGAACTCAGACAGAAAAGATTACGACGGACTACGACTTACCAAACTTATCAATCAACTTATCATCAATAAACTGATGTTGATAAAATTATCAACAATCAACGTATGGCACAAATCTGACCCGTTTTTAAAAGAATTCGACATTTTGACCCATTTTGGCCGTGTCGACATTTTTACCATTCCATATTTTTACGATTCCATATTTTAACCCTTTTTTACCCGATTCGATATTTTAACGATTCCATATTTTAACGATTCGGTATTTTAACCCCTTTTTAGCCTATTCGCGATTTTAACCATTCCATATTTTAACGATTCCATATTTTGTACCGGAGCCTGCCCGGCATACCCTCCGTAGCAGCACAAAAACAGTTTTTCCAGCGAAGATTCAGTTGGTCATAACTTTGTTCACAATCATCCAATCGAGCTGATTTTGGTGTCATTCAACTCAGCTCGTCGAGCCCTTTCTCAACACGTCGAGTTCATGCAAAATTGGTCCTGAGATACTACATTATTCACCCCTGATACAAGGAAGAAATATTGGACTCAACTGTCCCTTTTAATCAAAAAATATTTTGATATTTTGAGCCTTTTTAGCCGTCTAGATATTTTGAGCGTTTGATGTTTTGAGCGAATATATTTTGAGCCTTTTTAGTCGTCTAGATGTTTTGAGCGTTTGCTGTTTTAAAAAAATATGTTTTGTAGGGTAGCCTTTTTTTCTTTTGTCCTTATTTTCAATAAATCTAGGAGTATCACAGCGGGGAACCTAAAAATAATTTTTCCCTAAATTCTCATATGATGAAAGAAACGTAAATTTAAAAAATTTTATTTTTTTCCTGTCTATCAATCACTCGAAGGCTGGTTTTCAATCGAAATTTTTTTTTGAAATTTTTGAAATTTTTGAAAAATTTTTGAAAAAAAATTTTTTTTGAATTTTTTTTGGAATTTTGAAAATTAAAAAAAATTTTTTTTTAATTTTTAGAAATTTTTTTATTGAAAAATTTCTGAAAAACTTCTTAAAAAATTTTCTAAAATTTTTGAAAATTTTTAGAAAAATTTTTTTTGAAAAATCAATTTTTCTAAGCTTCTATTTTACACACATATATTTTTATTTATGCAACAACCTCCTATTTTTTGATTGCTTTTTCATTTCCTAATCCAATTTATCAATCAACATTCCATTTATTTTTTCCTTTATTTAATGGCCATCTCTCTCTTTTACAAAATATTTTTTTATTTTCGATTTTCTATTCGCGCTAACATTTTTAATTTATTTTTTATAGGTAAATTAATGTAGAAAATTAATTTATTTATTTTTTAAATTAGCTTCCTTCATTCTTTATAAATCAGTTTTAACCCCCCTATGATTAATCATTAGGTACAAAAAGGTTAAACTGGTAGTTATTGTTAGGGGTTGGCGGCCCCTGGGAAATCCACGTATAGGCGAACCGAAAACTTACGGATATTCAACCCTTTTTTGAGATCCGAAGATGAAAACCCTTAGTTATTGCTAGGCCCATTCTTTTACTACGAGGTGCTCAACCGAATAAGCTATCACTTTAACCCTAGCTTTTAATACTGATCTTAAACTCGCAATTTTACGTGTTGAATCTTCCTTCTTTCTCAATTTTCTCAACTTACTAGAGTTGAATTGTTACATTTCCAAATTATTAAAGGAAATCAAAAATTACTGATAGTTTGAGAGGAAAGGAATATTAAAAATTAATCGTCCTAAAAAATTTAGGACTAATCAGAGAATTAAAAATTAATCGAAACTAAAATTAATGAACAGAATGGGAACGTTAAATAAACAATTAAAATCATTTTTAAATTAAGGCTGTCTGAAGCCAAAAAAATTTTTTAGATCAGTCTCAGTACGTATTTAATATTTCCTTCAGTCACAATCACTTGAGGACAGCTCTGTTCGCAATTTTTCAATTTTATTCGCAATTTTACTCTCACCTATTAACAGTATTCCCCCCCCCCCCTAAAGCAATCGTTATTTTTTTAATTTTCTTAACTTCCCTTTAAGATGCTTTAAAAATTTTAATTTTTAAATTTACTGATTATTTACCAAGACTTTAAAAAATATTTAAAAAATTATTTATTTTAATATTCTATTTTCGTGTCAAGTCACACGATATTCCTTTAAAATTTCCTCTAAAAATTTTTTTAAATTTATTTTCTGATTTAAATAAGGAAATAAATACACAAGTAAATCAATCATTTAATCGTTATTTTCTTTAATTTCTCCATTCCTGCTTTTGTTGATTTTTTATAAAATTGGCCCAGTTGTTGACAAAAAATGCCCGTTTTTGGGTAGTTAATGGAGCGTTAAATATATTTTTTTATTTTTTTTTATTTTTGGCTTGGGAAAAGCTTTAGAAATAATATTTTTAAGGAAAATTTTTGAATATTTTTTTATTTAAATGGGTTGATTTTGTTAAAAATGAGAGGGAGTTTTGAATATGTTTAATAAATTCAATCGGTTACCCACCTCTTGAGGTTATTAAATATAACCTTTTTGTGTAAATTTAAAAGGGGTATTTTCAAATTTAAAATATCAGGCCTTCAAGACAGACTTATTTTAAAACTAAGAACACCACAATTAGGCTAATTTAAAAAAGTTGTTGACAAAAAATGAAAAAAAAATTCTCAAAAGTCGCTTCCATATGATTCCATGTTTTTAATTTTAACTCTGCTTGAACCCCCAGAAGTTGTTCTGAGAAGTTTCTCATTTTTGACTCAGATTTATTCTTAAATTTAATGTCCAAAATTAAAAAAATAACCGGCATATCAGGGATGGATCCGTTTCCGCCTTCGTTAGAATTCCGTTTTTGGGCGCTTCCGCTTCCCGCGTTCCCTTCTTCTTAAAATTGAAAATTACCCATCCCTGCTGCATATATTTCTTCATAATTTTTAAAATTTTCTCTAAACTTGTTGCTTAAATTTATTGTATAATTAGGTTTAAAAAATTTTTCCCCTCTAATTATTCATTAACTTTTTCTTTTCTTATTCTAATTTTCTTGTTAAAACCCTTTCTCTTCTTTTCTCTCCCAACATTTTTTACTCATTGTCATTTTACGCCAAAACTCCCCACGTCTCCTTGGTGAACGGCTCTTTAACAGACTTGAAAAAAAACTTTTTTTGCCAAAGATTTTTTCCCTTTTTCATTTTTTCTTTTCATAATTGAAGCCTTAACTTAATTTTTAAGTTTTTTTTGCTGTCATTTAAATTTATTTTTGAATGATTTTTTGTAAGGATTCCAGACGTAAATATACATAATTTTTACTAAAATAGCAAAAAGAAATTTCTCGTCATTCATTTTTAGTAGTAATGATTAGAAGCCGTAAAAGGAATTTATTCTAGGACTTAGGCTTTTCCCGAAAATTTTTTTCTAAAATTTTTTTGGCATTATTCGTTATTTTTCCTTATTAGGTTTAAGCATCCTTCTTTGCGGAAAAATTCTCTTCTCTTTCGCCCAAGGTCTCAGATTATCCAAAACTCGAAACCTCGAAACCTCTCGATGAGACGCAGCGAATGAGCCTTAAAAATTGCATATGTTTACCCATAATTCCATTAACTAGTGAAAGATAAATGCTTAGGATTTAAGAGATATTCCCTGCTATTTTTTGAATTCGTTTTTATTATTTTTACAAAAATTTTTTCTTCAACTTTATTCTATTTTTATTTATTTTTAAGCGCTCAGAATCGCAACAACAACAAAAAGAAAAAAATAATAATTTTTCTCCTTCCCCTCAACAACAACTTTCTCCAAAATTTTCTGATAAAAAACAATCATCCCCCTCGCTAGCAGCCATTGGCCGACACACCGCTGTGCCAGTGCTCCCACCGAGCACGCTTTTATCTAATGGGCCTAAACCACGTCTTTGCCTTTTAATTAAGGGAAGGTAAAAAGAGAAAAGAAATTTTTTAAATTGAATTTAAGAATGAAATAACTGTCGGACCTTGTTTGTAAATATTCCTAGGAGACTGAAAATTTAGGTTATCTTCTATTGTAGGGTTGTTTTATAATGAGATGTCCTTATGGGAGGTTACCTTACAATAAGGCGCATCCTAAACTGAGGTCATCCAGTATAGGATGCTCGGGAGAAGAAAAAACCCGGGAATCTGGAAACGGGAGTTGGGTCGGGAAATGACCTCGGGAGTCGGGAGGCTAAAAACTCGGGAAAATTTTCCGATCGGGAGTCGTGTATCCAGTATAGGATGTCTCTTGTATAATAAAGTCTGACTATTAGAATTGTTCAATTAATCACACCCTTTTAAGTCCAAGCCAAGAATTCGGCTTCAGTTTGCACGCTGAAGGCAACGGGCATTTTATTGGGGCAGTCGATTCTGATGGAATTGCGGAGAGAGCTGGATTGGTGAAATTTAAGTTTTTTCCTATTTTTATTTAAATTCCCCAGGTGACAGGGCAAAGAATAGTTGGAGTAAATGGCCATTTGGTATATTCGAATACTTCTCATATGGTAAATTTAATATTTAATTAGTGTGCGCCGGAAGCGAAATTTAAGGCAGAATAAGCCTGTAGGCTAGGCGAGATTTCGTTCACAACGGACATGTGTTTTACCAACGAGAGGGTCGACTTTTTTCGACCAAAAATAGGACCAACCTCTTCTCAACCCTTCCGATTGACTGCCTTTACTTTTTTTAATCTCCTTTCACTTTTAAAACCAGGCTAGTAAGTAGTAGTCGGATAAGCAGTCGGACTTCCTTCTTCCTTATAACGGGAACTGTCAGTGACTCACAATTAAACTGAAACCGAAACTAAAAATCCCAAAGCTTCCAGCAGAACATTTAATTAAACCTTTAATAATTAAATAATAAAAAGGATATTGTGCAAATTATTCAAAGAGAACCTCTCCGAACAGAATTACTTGTTGCTTCTGAACAAGTTGATCGTTTTTATAAGGAATATGGACTTGGTTTGATCTTTTTGAAAAATGAAAACAAAAATTTTGTAGCATTCTCTTATGACTACGTGCAATTTTACGACCCCGTTGTTATGCGCAATGGGAATGGGAAACCCCCACAGTTAGGTGGAGCAGCTGCAGTTCGTCCCAAACAATCCCCCAATGCTGTGAAGGTGAACAAATCTGCTTTAGTTTTGTTAATTTTCTGGTTTCAGAACCAAAATTATGAAAAAGGAAAAACTGTGCAGAGGAGTAGAAGTGGTAGTCGATCTGTGGAGAGAAACCCTTCTAATAAAAATGTAAAAATTATTATTAAATGTTTTTTTACTAGAGACCGGATTTGGGGGGTCATACAATAATTGAGTTCGTATCTCGAAAAATATCGATTTAGATACTGAAATTTTTGTTTGAGATCCTTCTCGCCTTTGTCTCTAATTATTACCCGAAATTTACCATGTCTTAATGCTACGATTTTTTTGGCTTACTAACTAGCTATATTGGCCTCTGGTTACAGTAACTTCTGGATATAAGTGCAGGAGAATATTATCCCATTAAGCATTCCTCATATTCGACCATCTTATACCGATTTCCCCTTTCTGCTTTAAAGGTTAACAAACAAAGGATATAAGCTTCTGTCGACAACTGTCTTTATACCCGGTATATCCTCTCTTATCCGCCTTACTAATTAGGACTAGAAATTTCTCTCAAAAATAAACAAAGAAAAATTACTTTCAGAATGGCCATGCTATACGTGGACGTGGTCAATCACTTGGTAAAAGGCCCCCAACACCTTCAACAACTTATTTGGTAATTCTAAAAATTTAGTTGCTAGTTAACGCCTATTTCCTTTTCATTCTTTTTTGCTTTACTAATTGTTCAACTATATTTAATCACGCTTTACTAATTTCCAAACACTTTTCTCTATTTCTTAGTTAATTTATAATCACTTCTAGCCTTTTGAAAAACCTCATTAAATAATTGTGAAAATGATTCGACTAGATCTCGGCAGAACTCTTTGAAAAAGCTTTCTAAAAAGTCAAAAAGATATCGGATCGAGCCGAGCCCTAATTACAACCATTAAAAAGGGTGCTCTGAGCAGATTCTCAAATCACCCAAATAGTAGATGTAGAAGAGGCTCCTCATATTATAACAAGTTAAAATTTCATTCTAAAATCGGAAGCCTTTCAGAATATAACAGACATAACCCTATCTTTATTAACAAATATATTCCCCCAATTAACACGTTTTAATGGGAGTCATCTTTTAAATATTTTCAAGTCCTCCTCTGAACAAATTAATGGACATGTAGCCGTCCAAATTGAAAAACGTTCGGACAACATGACTTCTATTGAAATTGGAGAGGTTTTAAAAAAAATATTTTTTTATTCAAAAAAAATGAAAAAATGTCTAGATTGACGACTCCGAACCAACAAAAATAATTGACGAAAATTCTCAACATTTATTTGGTGTTGGCACTCCTCCAAGCAGTAGATGCGAGGAGAAGTTGAAAAATGGGCATCATTCTGTTAAAAATGGAGGAGGGAAAATTACTAATGGAGTAGCTGGGAAAGGAGGAAGAGGAGTTGAACATGTCGAAAATTCTGTATAAATTTTTAAAAATATTTTGGACACAAACTACAAACAATAAAAAAATTTTGAGCACAAACTACAAACTACAAAAAATTTTGAGCACAAACTACAAACTATAAAAAATTTTTAATTAAGCACTCTGTCATTTATTTTGAATTTTTCATTTATTCTTCTTAGTTAACTGATCTGTGATTTTAGTTTTAAATAAAAAAAATTTTTTTAAAGAAGCATGTAATAGCTGATGGGCCTGTTTATTCAACTGATTCTTCTGTTAAACCGCCTCATCCAATTGCCGCCCCTAGAACTACTCCTAGACCCGAACGGCGGTACTCACCCCCTCAACCATTAGAAATTTATCATCCTTCCCAACTACAACAGGCAATTTTTTTAAAGTTTGAAAGAATGGGGGTTAAAGATGGAACTTGAAGTACCATCGGGCCTCACCTGTGTCCACACCCTTGGGTTGTCTCGATTCCCGAAAATTAGGAATTCACCATGTTTTTGTGTCTAGGTATTTTCAAAATTGGGTGAACATACATGTTTCTGAACCCAGAAAACACAAGAAAAAATTAAATTAAAAAATTTGGAACTCGGACCAGACATAAAAAAGATCCTCGTTCGGTCTCGGAACTAGGACTAGAACTTCTGACATACGAGAAAATGGTCTGAGAGACAACTTAAAAGCTCCTTTCGAGGAAACCTCCATCTTGGGCAGAAATTTTGGGCAGAAAATTCGAGTGCCATTTATAGGTCTTTACTTAACCTAAATTCAATTTTAGTATGATCCAAGCCCGCTTTCTCTCCAATCAGACTCTACTCAATCAAGAACTAGTCTTTACAAAAGTCGAGGTAATTGACCAAAAAATAAATTAAATAAAATTTATTTTTTAGATTCCGAAAAGAGTATTTTTGCTTTAAATGCAAAAGAAGCCCGCCAATTAATTTGTTATAGAAAAAAAGATCCTCGTTTGGCTGAACAAATGTCTTTGGGTAAAAATGAATATATTTTACTTAATATAATTTAATTTTTTTAGAAGAAAAACATCGACTAATAATGGAGCTTTGAAAAGAATTTTAAAAATATTGTAAATTATTTTTACATAGAAAAAATTTCTCTAACTTCTATAATTTTCTCTTATATTTCCCTTATCTCTAATAAACTTTTGAATAAATAAAATTTGTTTTCTTAAAAAATATAAAATTAAAGGTAATATGTATAAAATCGTGTCGGGCTAACTCACGGGACGGATAAGTCACGGTATGACTAAAATACGGAATAATTTAAAAATAAAATTTTTTTGAAAAATCTGAATATTTTTAAAAAATAGCCTGTCAAATTTTCAAGGAAAGGGAAAATATATTTTTTAACATTCTGAAAATTTTACATATTTAAAATAAAAGACATTAATGCGCAGAAAATTACTATAAAAAATTTAATTGAATTTTTGTAAACTATATCCCACAAAAAAAATATTAAAAATAAATGACAAAAACATTCAAAAGACCGTATTCTCTAAATGAAAGGAAAATCACCTTAATTTAAAAGGTATGATTTTTCCAGCCTTAAAAGATCTTAAATTTCTTAATAAAATAGCGGATATTATCGCCAAGTAATAATGTTAAATAAATTGAAATAAATAAGAAGGCTAGCATTCTAATTTTAATGAAGTAAATTTCAGTCTTGATGTCTCCAGGTTCATATTTGATTTCACCAAGTATTGATTTAATTTCGTATTTGTTGTCATGAATATTTTGTTTTATGTCCCGTTTAAGTGAAGACAGTTGATTCTAAATATAAGAATTTTTTCTTTAATTTTAGCTTCGGATAGGGTACTTCCGTCTCCGTTTACTGTCACATAAACGTCCCCTTTCAATTAGGGCTGTCGAATCCGGATTCGAAAAAAGGCAAGATATCGGGGAATTTTCGGTTCGGATATCGGATATCCAAGGATTTCCAACTATTTGACAACCTTACTCCCTATGCCCATCTACTTTCTACCTAAGATACATAAATAGTTTTTCCGTTTCTGTCAGCTTTCAGCTATTATATTATATTTGTTATGTATTATATGCAGCAATTTTCATAGCTTGACCAGGGTGGCCCTTTTACCCTATTTCTAGAGGATTTTCCCTATTTTTGACCTTTTCGCCCTATTTTTTCCCTATTTTCTCATTTGCCATATTTTTGCCCTATTTTTACAATCTTGTAAAATTTAAAAAATTCTTCGGATTTTGTTTAAAAAATGGTAAAAATGAAGGATTTCTGACTTCTTGGCCTTCCAAAATCTTCAAAATTTTTGCCCGCGGCGCAAAAATGGAAGAAATTTGGCTTCTAGCCTCCCAAAATCCTCAAAATTTTTGCCTGCGGCGCTAAAGATGGGTGAAATGTGGCTTCTTGGCCTTCCAAAATTTTCGCTTTATTTTAAATTTTAATTATTTTTAAGCTTTTAAAGCTATGCCCTAATTTTTGCCCTATTTTTGGCCGATTTCGCCCTATATTTGCCCTATTTTTGAGTGGCTGCGCCCTATTTTAGTGTTTTGGAAGGGGCCACCCTGAGCTTGACCCTAAAATATATCCTTAAATTAATTGAGGGCTTGGAGTCATTTTACGATTAAAGAGGCAGTGGACAATCCATCAGTGGATTCAAATGATAAAAATATAACTTATTCAGTTTATATTTTGGAAAAGTTAATGTCGATCAGAAATTTAAAAAAGGCGAAACAGCAAAAGATCCAAAAAAGTTTTTAAATTTTACCTCCATCTTCCACTCTATTGAATCAAATTTTGAATTTATTTCATCTCGAAAAGAATCAAGTTCTTGATTAAATAAATTTAAAGAATGTTTAAGTTGTTGGTTATTCTAAAAATTTTTAAATTTTTTTCAAATATTTAATTAAAAACACCTCAGTATTGTAAACAAATTTTGAAGAAAATTTTCTTTTAAATAAATTAATTGTTGTTGTTTTTCTAGGAAAATAAAGGCAACGTTGAATTGAAAACATGCCTTTCTTTAACTTTAAAATTTTTAATCTTGAATAATATTAAAATTATTCATTAGAAAATGATGAAAATTGACAAAAATTAAAATATATGATTGTTTAAACAACCCAAAAATTTAATAGGTAAAGACGAGAATATTTAATTTTATCAACAAAAATGAAAATATAGGTAGACGAAACAGTCCATTAACGCATACAACCTCTTTAATTATTAGGGTTGGGGTTTTGAATCGGGCCGAAGTTAAAGTCATTCTTTTCGGGCCGGCCCGACCGAGTCTTTTTCGGGCCAAAATTCGAGGCCCGACCCGATCTTTCGGATCGGGCCCCCAACCCTATTAATTATGCTAAGAAGATCTACTTGAACGGTACCTTCATTTTAGGCATAGTACCAATTTAATTTCCAGCCCCAATGTTATCTCTAAATGTTCGGTTCGCTATAAAAGACACCCATCATGTTTAGATCCAAAAATTCCCTTTAACGATAGGTTAATAAAAATAAAGAAATAAATTTAAATTTTCCCAAATAAAATTTAGTGGGAAGTTTTAATTAAACGAAATTTTTTAAACACTTTTCTAAAATATCGCTATTGCCATTATCATCAATATCTCCACAAAAATAAATCCAAAGCCTAAATTCAAATATAGCTCAAATTTAATATTGTCAACATCAATTTTGATGAATAAAGGGTGATTCGTTAATTTAAGAAGTTGTGATAAAATTTGCCGTTTGTTGTCAGAAATAGTGCTTTTCATGTCACTTTTAAGAGTACACAGTTCATTCTAAATGAAAAATTTTTGTAATAAAAACAAATTTTTTGGGCCCGTGTTTCATCTTGTATCCGATGCGTAAATTAAATGAAACCTCTCAAATTAATTTTGAGTCTGTAAAAGTTCGGATGGTATACCCCATCTCTTTTCTGACCATTTTTTCCTCTCCTTTCTCCCTTATTTTTAAGAATCAAGTTTCAAAAAGAAGGGTACAGCCCAAGTAGGCGCAAAGTCATAACCTCTTCAAGATTTCTGAATCTTTCAAAATTTAGTAGTAAGCGTTACGGTAAAAAAATTTTCCAACTAGTTAAGGCTCTGCGCTTACTTGGCCGCGCGCCTACTTGGGTGTATCCCAAAAAAGGATTGAGTAATGAGGTATACGGTATCCGAACTTTTACTTGAGTTTTTTTGGGTGTTTTTAGTATTACCTTCATTTCTCGTTCTGTTGAATCAAATTTTGAATTCATTTTATCCCGAAAAGAATCAAGTTCTTGATTAAATAAATTTAAAGAATGTTTAAGTTGTTGGTTATTCTAAAAATTTTTAAATTTTTTAAAAATATTTATTTAAAAACACCTCAGAATTGTAAACAAATTTTGAAGAAAATTTTCTTTTAAATAAATTAATTGTTGTTGCTTTTCTAGGAAAATAAAGACAACGTTGAATAGAAAACATGCCTTTATTATTTATGAAAGAAATGTTAAATATCTAAATTACTTAAAACACTTTAAAAATTAATTTAAGTAAATTAAATGTTTTTTAAACATTAAAATAAGGCTAAGATAATTAGCTAAATATATTTAAGTATATGAAAAAGACAATATCATGAGTAATTAATACAATGGAATTCACTATAAGGACACAAATCGGGCATAATTTTGCTATGTAAGAAAGGTGATGGATAAAAGAAAAGTCAAATTAGACTAAAATATATGAAAAGTGCCTGGGATGTGGCGTCATAGAGATTTGTCAAATTTTGAGTACCCAAAAGAAGATATATTGAATACCATATATGCTGAAATAATTGCCCTCTCTCAAGAATCACTTCTTATTCAATTAACGCATCTAGCGAGAGATCGAAACAATAATTACCACGGGTACCTGGGACGAAAGGAACCAAGATCAGTTTGCGGTCTCAAATATAAACTCAAATATCAAAAGTGTGCCGAAAAATTTTAAATAGCGAAACGCGAAATTCGAAAGGCAAAATCGAATTTTAAAAGCGAAACGCCAAACTGGACCCCTGTTAAATATGTATGGGACAAGAATATGGTCAAATATGTGCCGTCAAAGGGTCGTATAAGTGAAATCAATTTAGTATATAAGTAAAAAATCGAATAAATAAAGAATTGATTTTCCAAAATTTAAACTTCCATCAAACAATTCTTCTTATAATCAACAAAACTTATTTCCGTTCGTTGGCAATACGATTTAAAAGTTCCATGATTGCAATAAAAACAATACAGCACCCTCCAATAAATGCAAAAAACATTCCCCCAACATAAAACTTAACTACAGCAAGTTCTCTTTTTAAGGCATCAAAATCTTTATTAATTTTATCAGTTTCTTCATTAACTTCTTTTATGCATTTTTCATTTTCAGTCTTGAGATCATTTTTAAATTTAACAATTTCTGTCTTAAATTTTATTAAAGAAATTTTTAAATTGAAAAAACAAATCAATTACGGCCGATAGTTGCGGACACAGGGCTTTAAGTCTACATAAGCTACCGTTGAATGCCCGGACATTCTATTTTATAGTCACCTTCCAAAATAGTATCCTATTAGATGGTGGCACATTCAACTGGAAAGGGGCAGATATCTCACGATGAGTGGGTATTCTAGTAGGAGGTTATTCAATTTTCAAGCATCCTCCAAAGGCCTGCCCTAAAATGGAGGTCGACAACTATTAAGGCTGACCATTATGTACAATCTTAAGGAAGGAAAAAAAGGGGGGCACCATCTTTAGTATTACCGGGCATTCAAATGTAGGGGGATCTTTTTGAGGTGTCTAGAATGTTATTTGCTTGTATAGTAAATGAAAATATAAGGTACAATAATACTAACTCTCAAAATACCCTTATTATAGTTAAATAAAAATTTCAAGAATATCCGCAAATATCAGTCCGCAAATGACCCAATTCAAAAACCTTCATTTGTGTATTCAAAGCCTCAAATTTACAATTAATTTCAAATTGCATAGATTTAACTTGGTTAGTCAGTAAATTAATTGTGCTCGTTAATTGGTCCTCATTGGATTTTGGATTGTTTGTCTTTGTCTAGTAAATAAGGAAAGGGATTATGTAGGAGGTTTTGATTGAGTTATGAATTTTTTAAAAATATTAACACTAAATTACCTCAGTAGCAAATTTTCTAACAAAAGTTGTCATACTACGCGACATGCAAAAACAACGACGGTTAATAACAAACATATTTTTAATTTTAAAATAAAATAAAAATAACTAAAAATTATAATTGTAGAATAATTAGGGTTGTCGGTTGGAATGGAACCAGATGATTTTTGGGGTGCGTTTTCAGTTGTGTTTCTGATATCAAGATTTCCCAATAACCAACAAATTAAATTATAAATGAAATTTCAGAGTTCAAAATATAATTTCAAAAAAATAATTTCAAGCAAAAGAGCTCAAAATGGTCAATAAACAGGAAAAAAGATCCATTCCAGGTGGGGAGATGGATATTCCCTGAAACTATCCGTAAAATTTCCCTACAAATTATTTGTGATCCCAACTTCTTTCGAAGTAAAACATGTTAATTACAAGTAAAATAAGAATTGAAGAGAATCCACCGACATAAGATGGAACTATAACGGGAGTTTAAATTCCTCGAAAGTATCAGTAAAATTTCAGTAAAATTATTCAAGTCCCCAACTTATTTCCTAGCAAAACAAGCTTTTTAAAATGAGAATTGACCGAAAATATTTAAAAAAAATTCATTTACTAATATTTTTAAAAAAAATTGTGTTGAGTTGAGGTATATTTTAAGTGACCTAGACATACATAATATATTTTAGTTTATATAGACAACATATTTCTCCTTATTATTTACTTTAGGCAATTAATATTTGAAAAAGATTATGAATGACCTTATTATTTTTATGAGAAGGAAGCGGCAAAATTAAGCTGTGTAGGCATATTTTTAAAATTATGCGCATGAATTTAAACTTGGTAGGTACGTTCTTGTAATCCTGCCGACAAAAAAAGATAAATTCATCATTACACCGAAGAAAATTGAAGTAGTTTCGGAAACTGGTGTATATTTTAATAAGTACTGGGGGTTATTTTAAAACTTAGTAGCTTATTAGAAAGAGCACAATTCACTTAATAATAATAAAAATAATCCAAGTTATCTAAACGAATTTTTCTCGAGATATGCTATTTTAAAGAAATTTTCAGAGAGTGAAGATAAACTTTTGTAGTCGCAAACATCGTCCGCAAATGTCTTTTTGCCTGCTTTCCTTTACCATCTTTGCAATTTAATAATTTTTTTCTCGCTTAATATTTCACACTAAAATCCCTCAATATCCTTTCAAAATCCCCCTCTCTTCGAGACTCTATAGTTTAATATTTTGGTCAAAAATCGATACATTTACAACAAAAAAGCGAAGAAGCGGCCACAAAAAGAGATAACCCGCCAGCAAGGCAAATAATGTGTCTCCGTCCGTAGAGAGGGTGTATTAAAAGTTGGGGGGTTTTAAGTATTTCTCTATCTACGTTTTACAAAGAAAGTAAGAGAAAACCCCCCAAAGTGTGTAGAAGTATTTTTATTTTTCGTTGTTCCTCTTTGAAGGAATGGGCTGACGGAAATTTTATCTGTGAGTGTATTTGCCTATCCATTCTTTTTTTTACTTTATTTTACTACTACTTTGACAATCCCAAAGGGATGGGAAAAATATATTTACAAAATTGCTCTAAAATACGTGAAAGAAACGTATTTTTCCGGAAAGTGGATGTTTTCATCTCTTCAGAACATGAAACTAACTTTAATACAAACGTACCGTATAACCTGTATTAATTGCCCTCCCTCAAATAATTACTCCATTTCCATTAATTACCCTATCCAGCGATAGATTGAAACAATAATTACCCCCCCCCCAAAAAAGCCCTAAAACACGTTCAAATTTCAAACCTCGTATAATTACCCTCCCTCTATTAATTACTCTCTCCAGCGAAAGGTCGAAACAATAATTACCCAGAGTAGTTATTAAAGGATATACGGTGTGTGTATTCTTTTAATCTCTTCGTTTTTTACAATTTTAGATCTAAAAATTAATTGTTGAACTTTTTAAACTTGTTTTAGACTCACTTTTACGTGTCCCTCTTAAAATTCCAAATTTAGGGGTATTTCGTAATTTTTCTTAACTTAAAATTGTTATTTAATATCAATTCATCAATAAATTCTCAAAAATCAACAAAAAAATATAATATCAATAAATCAATTTAATATCAAAACAAAATGTGATAATTTAATGTCTCTCATATTTTTCTGATTGTTTATTGAAACCACTGAAATTATTATGTTAATCCTTGTTCTTTCACAATAAATATGTATACTTTTAAATAAATTCACACATATTACAGATTTGTAAACTTAAATTTATTACAATTTTCAGATATAATCAGTTATGTTGCATTTTGATTATAAAATAAATTTTTCACATTATTTTATATTTTACAAACAAACTTCTAGCCATTTTCAAGTTCAAACTTAAAACTTGAAAAATATACTATTAAGTAAAAAAATTAAAAACTTGAGACAAACTCAAAAACTTAAGTTTTTATTTAAATAAACTTTTTTCGCTTCAATTTTAAAATGTTATCAACTTTACAAACTTAAATAAGCTCAAACTTGAAGCTTAAACTTAAAACTTAAGTTTTCGCTTAACATTAGAATTCATTGTTTTTTACTCGTAAAATTTTATAGTAAATATTTTTCTTAATTAATACTAATTATTTAAAGCTTATTATTCAGCTTTAATCTTTAATTAACTAATTTTTATGAGAATAACAATTCTTATTGTTATGCTGGTTGATAATTCAACAGCTTATTGTTAAAGTAAGCGTATTATTTTAATTAAAAAATTATTCTTAGTTAAAAAAAAATTTTTTTTAATTAAAAATTTCTCTTAATTAAAAAAAATTTTTCCGATTAAAATTTTTTAAAAATATTTTTAAAGTTTATTTCTCATTATTTTACCTCTTTTAAAAAATTATTGTTCCATAAATAAAATTGTTTTGACAAAATATAATTATTTATTTTCGTTTCCTTCTCAACAAATAAAATATTAATTTTTCTTTTTGTCTCTTATTAAAACAAAGGATTTATTTAATATTGTGGTCATCATTTGGTTGCTAAGGGTGACCACTAAATCTCTCCTTTTTATTTTTAAACCAAGTCTGTCACTAACAATAAACTTCTCATTCAAGTTTTATTTTAAAAATATATAATTCGCAAACTTAAAAACTTAGAGAAAGAAGAAAAGTTTTGAAGAGCAATCTTAAGTTTTAGGAAAAGAAAGTTTTAAGCTTTAAGTGTGCACTTAAAGTTTTGAGTGGGGGACATTTTATGTCGCTTTTATAGTGAGGGAATGACCAAAATTATTTTTTAAAATTTTTTTCTGTAGGAAAATGAAAATCCTGCACACTTTGTTAATCTTTAAGGACATTTCCTTTTTTAAATTTTTTGAAAAATTGGGAATGTTTCAAATCCATTCTTGTTTTTTTTATTATTGTCCTTTCAAATATCCTTAGGTGGAAAGCTGCTTTATTAGAGAATATTCTAAATATTTATTATTTAAAAATTAATATTGAAAAAATATATATTAAACAAAAATAAACAGATGTTTAAGGCTTAATTAATTTTTGATCAAGTGCAATAAAATCAAAGACCAGAGAACATTCTCCAAGGGATTTATTTCGGATTTTTCTTTTTCATTTTATTATCGACCACCTTATACATATCTTTATCCTTTTTTTATAAGAACTTATTCCCGTTATAACCTCACCCAAAAAATGACGGCATTCCTTTGTTAGATTTTTTGGTAAAACTCAATTAATGAATCTCGGCTTAATAAGCCGTAATAGGAAATATTTTTTAAATTTCTTGAGCAATTTTATGTGATCCTCAATGTTCTTAAAATTTTCTAATAATTTTTAAAATTCTTTAAATTTTATATTTTCAAGATGCAATGACCGTTCATCGTCCAAATAATGTCCATTCAGCAGTTCAAAGGCTCAATCGTCCCCCTTCCTCTACTGGTAGGCCAAAAACAACAACAGCTTCTTCAACTTCACTAAATGTCTCTCAAATTTCTTCTCAATCAACAAGTAGTAGCTCAGGGAATGAATGTGTTAAAGTTGTTGTTAGGTCTGTCTTAAGACAATATTATCTAGCTATTCGCTCAATTTTACCAAATCCCACTTCACTTTTTGTAATTTTATCATCCCACATATCCTACGTTCCTTCTGATACTTCCAACCTTAAGCACTCTCTTCCTTCAGGGATCAGGAAGTCTCCAATTATACCATCCCTCTTTTCAATATTCTGGGCTTCATAAGGGCATTTAATCTTATCATCTCCTTTTATATATTCCAGTTACTTCTCCATCCCTCCCAAGCTTTTTTCCCTCCCAAAAAAGCGGCAAAATCCTCCAAAGCTCTTTCCCTCCCTCCCAAGCTTCTCCATCCCTGCCAAGCTTTTCCCATCTTCCTTGGAATTAATCAGGGAGCTTTGACATTATAGAGTGAATCAAGCTAGACCCTATAACAATTGTCATTTTCACTACTCATTTCATTCCAGATGCCGACCTCTTTCTTCATCCGAACAAGCTCAAGGGCACAATTGTTGTGTTAACGTCGACTCCAAAAGTGGCATTATCGAATTAACAAACCCTCAATGTCCCGACGAACCAGCAAAATGTTTTTCCTTCGATTCTGCCTTTGATTTAAATTCCAAACAATTGGATGTTTACGATGAGGCTGTTAGACCAATTGTTGATTCGGTACTTCAAGGATTTAATGGCACTGTCTTTGCTTATGGTCAAACTGGGACGGGGAAAACATACACGATGGAAGGGCCGAGCGGAATTGGAAGTAAGAAAAATAAATTTTTATCTGACTGATAATTAAAGATATGAGTGATTACATGGGAATAGTGATCACGCTGGGAAATTTCTTTCCTCTTAAAAAATTTAAAAAAAATCTGGGATATTGTAACAGCTGGTAGTAATCAATGCTGGATAAGTCTCCTAAAGCTAACTCTGGAGTAAAAAATTTAAAAACCACGGATACAGAGCCACAAAACGCACAAAACCCGGCATTGGTATTATTGCTACCACATTTAGGTGCTTCACCGACCATATTCCACCTTGGAGATTACTATTTTCTCTTTTCTAGATCTTAAATCACTCTCTAAGCTTTTTAACTTCTACCCATCTGGATCCTCAATTAAATTAAATATTTATTCAGAGAACATTGCTTCAGAACAAAGAGGTGTCATTCCCAACTCCATAGATCAAATATTCCAACATATTGCTCAATCACCCCCTTCCCTTCAATATCTAGTACGTGCCTCTTTTTTGGAAATATATCAGGAAGAAATTCGCGATCTTCTAGACAAAAGTGGGGGAACTGGTAAACATTTCTCTTAAAAATTGTCTCAAAAATTTGACAAAATTTTCCTATAGGAAAACGCTTAGAATTGAAAGAAAGGCCGGATGTAGGTGTTTATGTACGCGATTTGAGTTCATTTGTTACTCAAAGCGTTGAAGAGATTGAACATGTATTAAAAGTTGGTCATTCTAATCGAAGCGTTGGAAGAACCAACATGAATGAACACAGCTCTAGATCACATGCCATTCTTGTTTTGACTGTGGAAAGCTCTGAAATTGGGCCGGATGGGCAGCCACATATTCGAGTGAATTTTTTAAAAATATTTTTAAAAGGTGTCCGAGATTTTGACTTATGGAGAAGGGGCTTGACTATTTCTTGTCAAGAATTAATGGACAAAATTGAAACAATAATTCCATAGGACATCGAGACATATACCAGGGCAGTTTCCAACCGAACCTTAACTTTCTAATTATGTCTTGTGATGGAAATATCTCAACCCGACTTTTATTAAATCCAGTTATATGCCATAGATACGCTGGCTATGGTAGATCGGTGTTGGCTAAAAAGTTAGTCATTTATAAAGATGGAGTCTTCATTTCCACGTTAGAGAATAGCTGAAAATTTTCTTAAATACCTACAAATTTATAATGGAATACAGAAAAAAATTAATTTAATTCAAGGTTGGCCGCTTAAATTTGGTTGATTTGGCTGGCAGTGAGCGCCAAAGCAAAACAGGCTCTGAAGGTCAACGATTTCGAGAGGCTACAAAAATCAACCTTTCCCTGTCTGCCCTAGGCAATGTTATCGCTGCTTTGACAGATCAACAAAGTTCTCATATTCCTTATAGAGATTCTAAGTTGACTAGATTGTTACAAGACTCCCTTGGCGGGAATTCTAAAACTGGTACTATTTCTTTTTAAATATCTGATAGCTTACCATGGCAGAAATTTTTTCAAAGTACCAGACTAATTATGAATACCTCTAGTATTATTGAGGACAAAAAGCCACGATTACAGAGTAACTCCGAAAAATTAGACAAGTCTTGAGAAAAATTCCAAAGAGATTTAACTTACTAGTCTTCTTTAGAATATTCCCCCCATTCTTCTAAAATTCATTTAATTCGCAAAAATTCATTGGATGGGTGATGAAATAGAACATCATGGAAATAATTTATCCACAATACAACTTAACTTGAGTCACTTTTATTCTTCCATGTTCCTTCTGTTAGTACAGATACAACAAAAAGAAATAGAGATACGGAAGTGATAGAAACTGAGTGCGCTTATTGTTCCTCTTAGATTCAGGGGCAATCTTTCCCCTATAGGGAAGGATCTGATAATAATTTCAAACAAATTCTAACTATAATTTTCTCTTTTAAGTAATGATTGCAAATATTGGCCCAGCTTCTTACAATTATGAAGAAACTTTATCTACACTTCGTTATAGTTCTAGAGCTAAACAAATTCAGAATAAACCAATAATAAACGAAGATCCAAAGGATGCTCTCCTTCGCGAATTTCAAGAAGAAATTGCTCGCTTAAAGACTTTATTAGAGCAAAAAGGTATTACCATTAATTAGCCTTTCTTAAATAATTACACAGTCCTTAGAGATACCGTATTTCTTCATAGAGAGCCCCACCCTCCATTAGAGCCCCCCCTAATACAGCCCCACCTTGGAGGATAGCTGAAAAATAGAGCCACATGGGGGTGTATTAGAGCTGGATCCAGACCTGTATTAGAGCTGGACCAGATCCAGGCTTGAGCTGGATCCAGACCTTGATTTTTCCTGGATCCAGAGTCCAGATCAAGGCATTTTTCAGAGTTCCTTGATTTTTCCTTGACTCAAGATCAAGAATCGCGTCGAGGTATCCAACCAAAATCAAGGTCAAGGTTTTTTGAACATCTCGCTCGCTAGTAAGGACACAATCCTTTACTCATTTATCCCATCCATAACTTGTCACTTTATTTTTCTGTCAAAGTTTACTCAGGGCATTCTTCCCATTGATCCTATCTAATCCTATTTAATCTCAATAAAAAATTTAAAGGAACCAAAAGGCGTCAATCACGTCACAACAATAATAATGACCTTATATTACAAAATGGGTCTAAAATGGATACAAGTACTGATCTGGCAGAAAAGGAAGCAGAAGGAATTTACAGAGAAAAACAGGCAAAATTAGAAATGGAAAGGCAACGACTTTTACACAATAATCACATTATTGAAGAAGAAAAACAACGAATTTTGTCTGCCTTAACAGAACGTGAACAAGAATTAGAACGGGAGAGGCAAGAACAGCTTTCCCTTACAGCAAAAATTAGACAAATGCAAAGCAAATTGCTTTCGGGAGATGGAAATTTACTTGATAGAACGAGAAAACAGGAAACTTTGTTGGGGCAGAGGAGGGCTGAATTGGCTGAACAAAGGGTTTTTATACAGGCGGACCTCATTTTTAGATACACCCAATACTAGGTAACACCTCGATATAAGAGACTATTTGGAAATGAGGGAGTAGCTTAAGAAATTTCCTATTTCGAGAGGTTCCTTATTTCATTAGGAAAAGTTTTGTCTGTTGTATTAGCTGTAACACTTTCGACGGCTACATACAACAAATTCGGCCATGAGATCATGAGATGAGATGACATGAGATCATGAGATGACATCATCAGACCATGAGATCATCTCATCAACCCATGAGATCCCCGCTTCCCATTTAGTTTAATAATTTCTACTCTGAATTTTGCTTTTAATAATTATTTAGAAATTAACGTAAATTAGATTTGCTGAAGAGTTGAGGGAGTTGCTAGTTGGGTGAGTTGCCTCCACCTTATAGCTTGCCAAATTCTAAAAACATATCTTAAGGTATATCTAGTTTTGAGTGTATCTTATATGGAGTGAGGTCCGACGTATAGAAAAATTTTTTATGATTTTTTTGATATTTTAGAGAAGAGAACGAGAAGTTTTGCAAAGATTAGAAATTCAAGAGTTGGAAACAGCAGAAATTAAACAAATATTTGCTAGTTTACAACAAGAAGTTGAAGCAAAGAGGAGAAAATTTCAAAAATTAAATAATAGGTTACAGCAAATGCGTCTAGAATTGCGTGATAATGAATTAACAAACGCAAGTGAACGTCAAAATTTAGAACAAACAGTTCTTGAAATGAACAAAGAGTTGGCTTTAAAGTAAGGAAAAATAATACTATGTAAGGGGTTACCTTTACATATTGTATGAAGTGATAAACATATGTAACTAACGGAACATAAGTAAAGGGAACATACCTATACATAGTGTGAAGCGAATACGTCTGCAGTCTGAAGAGAAGATACCGTAAATGCCGAAATAATGTCCCTCTCTCAAATAATTACCCCCGCCCTATCAATTACCCTCTTCAGCCAGAGATCGAAAAAATAATTACCCCTCTTATAAATAGTTACACATAATTAGCCTGTCTGAAAAAAGCTCAAATAATTGCCCTCTCCCTTTTACTTACCCTCTCCAGCGTGAGGTTGAAACAATAATTACCCTGGGTAATTATTTTAACAAATACGAAGATATTGGAGATTTTGTCTTATAATATGTGACAGATGTTAGGCTAGCCAATTTTTAGGCACACAGATCATCTATCAAGTGGCTAACTAAATTTTAGATGATACGTGTCTTAAACGGTGGTGTGTGTATTAGCTTTTATCTTATAATATACAATTTTGATTATTTTAAGGTGGCTTATTATCGATAATTTCATTCCTGCAAATGTAGTCGAAAATATCAAAGATAAGGCACAGTTTGATGACAATGAACATCAATGGATTATTAGAGAAGGCCCCTCTAATCAACAAAATTTTTTGTTGGAACGTCGCCGCTCTATTCTTGTCGAAAACGAAGGTGGAGGGTTGGAAAGGCTAAATCTTAATAATAGTCCTCAACAAAATTTCAATTCTCATTTGAGAACAACTATGGCTGATTCTGGATTGGGAAGGTGACTCTACTTACTTACAATCTTCCCCCGCATTCTAATTTTACTCTTACATATAGTAGCAATGGTTGTTCATCAACTCAAGGGCCATCCGATGCTAGTTCTCAGGAGGACGGGGGAGTAAATTCAAATGATGTTGTAGATTTTGCCGAGCAAAGTACTTCTCAACACGAGAATGCATTTATTTCCCCTGCAAGATTATTGAAAAGACCGGTAGATTTTTTAAGAGGATTATTCGAATTGTGTTTTAGATGGCATTCTCTGGAACAACCCGCCCTATTTCCAATTGGGAAATGGTACTTCTTGGCAAACTTAAAAATCAACTAACACGCTCAAATTCAAAACAACATTCTAGATATCCTCCAAATATTAAAATGAGTCAAATATCTAAAAATGGAGAATTGCCAGAATTTTTAATTTATGATGAGGTGAATAAATTTAATTTTAATAAGTAGAATTACAAAATATAATTTTAACCCTTTAACTAGCACTAGTATTATGTTTTAGATTTTTAAATTTTATTCCCTTTCACAAACTTAAGTTTTAATAATGTTTATTTTAATTCATACTTAAATTAAATTATTATTTATCGCAAGCTTAAGTTTTTAAGTTTTAATTTTTATTTAAGTTTTAATTAAGTTTTAATTAGAAACTTAAGTTTGCAACTTTAAAATTTTCGCTTAAAACAAGTTTATGCTCAAATTCTAATTAAAAACTTAAGTTTACTTTATTAGTTTTTCCTCTTAAACCTTTTGTACCTCAAATCCATCTAATTAAAAATAATTTAATTTAATTAAGGTTCTCCGTTCTTGTTCCCAAAATTTGTTAACATTCCAATCCCTTTCCCCATACGGCTCTCAAGTTAATTCTAACTTGGAAGAGCAACAAAGGCCCCCTACAAGATCAGGCAGAACATCAAAACAACCAACCCCAAATTCAAAAATTCAAAGATTTGTTGTCGATACTTCTCGAATTCCAATACCTACCCAAAGAAGTGTTAGTAGAGATAATATTAATAATGCAACGACAACATTGTCTAGACCAATGTCTGCTGCAAGCAGAAGAAGGGGTTCGCTTGCGAGGGGTTCACAATCTTCTTTAATTAGTTCTGCTACTCTAAAGCTTTGCAATAATGCTCAAAATAGTCAACAAACGTACTTTTTTTAATTATTGTTATTTGGGGTTTAAATCTTTCCCATACACGAAAGTATAAAATAATTATGGTTGACTTTGTCTACACCTTTACAAGAGCAATAGTTTACAAGACCAATAATTATTTATAACGAGAGTCAGCTTTAATTGGTTTTATACAGAAAACTTTCTATTAGAAACTAGTGTTGTTCCCCGTCCCCGAAAGTCGGGGAATTTGAGTGATTTTCCCGTGGCCCCCATTTTATCACCGTGGCCCCCCGTCTGGGAATAACCCTATTAAAAACTATGGATATGAGATATGAGTAAGATATGAGCAGTTCCTGTTTGGCAATCTCTTCTACGAGCAATCTCTACTTTCTATCTCTATTATAGATACCTAGACCCGTTTGGATTGGAGAAAAATTTCATAGCCAAGTCTCTTATAACGAGTGCTTACTTATATTTTTAAAAATTATTTCCTTTCATCCTTTATCCCTTTCAGTTCCAGCCCAGAAAATTTATTTCTAAATCAAAATGGACATTCCAATAATAATTCAAAAAACTTGCGTGCCCGCAGCGTGTTCAGCAACAACAACAACAATTTAATTTTAAACAAAAACAACGAAAAAGGAAACAACAAAAGAATGGCAGAATCTGCCTCGAGTGCCTCCTCCTCTTTAGAAGGAAAAATTGGAAAAACAATTGTACAAAGAGCCCCAAGCAGTCCAGCAATTTCTGGACGTATTCCAATACCCCTTCAACCAAATTATCCAAAAGCAAGAGGCCTTGTTGGAGGGGGAATAATTGGTGGAGGTGGAAGCAGAAAATGAATAAATTAGAGAGAAGAGAGATTTGGGAATATTTTAAGGTGAAAATTAATTTTTAAAATCACCCGTGGGGGTGGGGATGCAAGAACGGGTAAGCGAGGAATTGAAGGAAAAATGATGAGAGTAATTTTGGAGGAAAACCCTGAATTTTAAAAAATCAAGAGTGGGGGAGGTAAGGGGGATGTGAAACGACAAATATTGTGAAAACAAAAAAAATGACTTGTCCATAACCATTTACCCTCAGTAGCAGGGACGGGTAAAATCTCTAATCTATATATTGATATACTTTAGATCATCACTAAATATACGATTCATAAAAGATATGTAGTCTTATATAGACGACTACGATGGCCTATTTAATTATACGTAGACCTTTTGTGGCTCAAAATATTCTACCTAAAATCAAATGTATTTATTATCAGGAGTGTTGCTTAGACAGCTCCCTTAGCCCCTCTTATCCAGTGCCAACCAAAATTTAAAAAATGATCGTAAACTGAGGGCTATATAATTAAGGAGTACGTAAAATCGAAATTTATATTAAGGCACTTAATTCACCAAACAACAACGACTTTTATCAAAATTTATCTGAATCAAGTACGCGTTTACAACAAAAATCACCATCAACTAATAACACTTCAAAAATCCCTTTATTTATTGGACGTTCTTCAAATTTTGGAATTTATTCAAAAAATAAAACAAAAAAATTATTAAATAGTAAAAATAAAGAAAAACAATTGTTCAAGTCTAATAATGAACAACAAATCGTTCCCTTTGTTTATTCTTCCTGTGCAAGTTCAAGGTGTTTTCTGATTCTTTTTTAATGATTATTTGACGTTTTATTTATTCAATCTTTAATCGACAGATTTTACACTTAACTCCTAGGATTGCGTATCCTGAGGATTTTTTTATTAAATAGTCCTAATATGGGATCAGCCAACGCTACTAGTTTGCCACTAGAAATGGCTTTAGTTTCCTTTTGATTAGGGTTGTCGTTTCGAACACGAACCGAATGAAGAGCTGAGGATTTTTTGGTTCTGTCCTTCAGTTCGGTTCTGGATATCATAAGAATTTCGATGAAGCACTAGTTTTCCTCTAGAAATGGCTGTGGTTTCCTTTTACTTAGGACTGTCGTTCAAACACGAACCGAATGTAGAGCCTGAGGATTTTTCAGTTCTGTCTTTAGTTTGGTTCTGAATATCAAAAAATTTTCCAAAAACTGACTATCCTACTTTTCGACTCCTTTCCCCCTTCTCTTCTAGACACTAAAATATTTTTTTCTATTTTTCTATTAGGCTTATAAATTTTTTTCTTTTATTAACTAATTATTGCCTAATTTTTACCCTTTTTTCAATTTTATTTTTTAAGAGAAACACTTTCATCTTGTGGGAAATTTTCTGAGGAAAATTCAGAAGAGGAACACGAAAATGACAAAATTAGCAATAAAAGTTCATTAAACTTGAATATTTCACCAACTTGTCTACCTTCATCATCTTGGCACACAATAGGCATTGCCCACTCCCTTCTAACCAAAATTCAAAATAAAAATAAAAAATCAACAAAATTTAGAACATTTCCCCTTTTACAACGTCCAATATTTAATAATAAAAATTTTAAAAATGAAGAAGAAAATTGGAAAAGTTTTTCTGGAACTTCTGGAAAAATTTTAAATTCTTCTCTTTCTCCGTTCTCAAAAAGTTTTTGTTGTACTGGTGATAATACTAAATTGTTCTCAAACTCTTTACAACATTCTTTTAATTCAAAAAATTCTTCAAATTGTTTATGGGAGAACATTGAAAGACCCAATTTTTAGTAAGTTTTTAAACAATGTTTTTGTCTATGAGAAAGAAATTTTGTTGTTATCATTTACAAGGGATAATAATAATTTACCTGCCATGGGACCTGCTTTATTTAAAAAAAAGCGGACGAATATGCGAAAGTAAACGTAAGAAAATAAAAACAGAAGGCGGAAGCAGTAGTGCAAAAAAGGCGGAATTCGGTGAAGGATGAAGATGGAAGGCAGCCATCTACTGTTGTATACTCATTTATTCGATTAATTACCCTTTGTAATTTTTTCGGCCTTTTACTGTAAGGAGGTGGTTAATTGAGTAAGGGTAATTAATTGAGTATGTTAAACAATACAGGGAAGGCTCCGGTATCGGGGGCAGGATTTTGAAATGCCTGTAACCGGAACCAAAATTTAGAAAAGATGTCGGAGTCACATAACCCCCCTCAATATCTAGTAATGATGAAAGTTGTTTCAAATACTTATCCGCTAAAGATCATTTTCTTTAAAATCTCCCCTTCTAATTGTCTCATAATTTTTTAAAATAATTTACAGCAACAACAAACCTCCAACAAATATGAAAATGCTTCAACCTTATTATAAGCTCCACAAAATTCGACACATTTTTGGGTTTAAACGGTTTTAATCTTTTGACAAAATTAAAAAATATATAAATTTTCAAGCTGTCAACATACTACTACGTTTCATTTAAATTCGAGTATGTTGTCCACATTAAAAGAACAACAACAACAAAAAGTTAACAAAACACAGACATTTGACAACAGCACAATTTATTGGGGAATTGTTGTCTTTGCTGGCTTTTCTCTCTTTTTTGGAACTTTTTCTTTTTTGTTCAACATTCTACTACTCGTTTGGCAAAATAATTGATATTTATATATGTATACATATGTTTTATTCTGAATTTGAACACGTTGCGGGCAAAAAAATTTTAGTGATTAAATTCATTCGTTTCATTGTATATTCCAATTTTTGTTTTAATTTTAAATGAAGTTTAAATTACTTTAAATATATAGTAAGAGTTTAAGACAACGCCAAATTTCCGAAAAATCTTGGAGCCCAAATTTCCGGACACCACCTAAGGGTGCATTTAAAAATGAGGTTTTGCTGTAATTCAATGATTTAATTTTAAATATAAGAAAAATTTTACAAGCAAATTAGCAACATATTTTCCATTAAATTGCCCATTAGTTGTTAACCGAAGGGTTAATTCTAAATGAACTTCTTGAGGGCCATCCAACGAATCTCTTAATGCAATTATTGCAGAATTGTGATCCTCACCTTTAAAATATAGTGAAAACAATGAAAATTAAGAACCTCCAAAGCAAACCCTTTTAAAGCAAAAAATTTAGCAAAAAACTGTATCAGAGCATTAAATATATGTATAATTTAAACGGAAATGTTATATGAAGTCTTTCTGATGACATTATTATGCCTAAACATCTTTCAAACCGACTAGAATAAAGACTGATTGGATTTGAAATAAACAACATTTACTCTAACCCCTCGATCAAATTGAGGTTTCAAAATCTTATTTAGATCGGATTGCGTGTTAAAAAAATCCGGATTTCGTATAAACCAAACATCCTTGCTCCTTACAAGGCAAATATGGAGATTTATTTCCTATGGAGATTTATTTCGGGTTAGTTTTCCTGTTTATTATCCCAACTAGATATTCTTCGAACTGCTCCAAAAATACTTAGTTTATGAGCTATGGGAAGCTATTTAGGGTTATTTAGAGGGGTAGGAATCTATTATTTTTATTAATTCGAGTGGATTCTATTCGAAATTATCCAAAAATACTTAGTTTATGAGCTATGGGAAGCTATTTAGGGTTATTTAGAGGGGTAGGAATCTATTATTTTTATTAATTCGAGTGGATTCTATTCGAAATTATCCAAAAATACTTAGTTTATGAGCTATGGGAAGCTATTTAGGGTTATTTAGAGGGGTAGGAATCTATTATTTTTATTAATTCGAGTGGATTCTATTCGAAATTATCCAAAAATACTTAGTTTATGAGCTATGGGAAGCTAATTAGGGTTATTTAGAGGGGTAGAAATCTATTATTTTATTAATTCGGGTAGATTTTCTTCGAAATTATCCAAAAATACTTAGTTTATGAGCTATGGGAAGCTATTTAGGGTTATTTAGAGGGGTAGGAATCTATTATTTTTATTAATTCGAGTGGATTCTATTCGAAATTATCCAAAAATACTTAGTTTATGAGCTATGGGAAGCTAATTAGGGTTATTTAGAGGGGTAGAAATCTATTATTTTATTAATTCGGGTAGATTTTCTTCGAAATTATCCAAAAATACTTAGTTTATGAGCTATGGGAAGCTATTTAGGGTTATTTAGAGGGGTAGGAATCTATTATTTTTATTAATTCGAGTGGATTCTATTCGAAATTATCCAAAAATACTTAGTTTATGAGCTATGGGAAGCTAATTAGGGTTATTTAGAGGGGTAGAAATCTATTATTTTATTAATTCGGGTAGATTTTCTTCGAAATTATCCAAAAATACTTAGTTTATGAGCTATGGGAAGCTATTTAGGGTTATTTAGAGGGGTAGAAATCTATTATTTTATTAATTCGGGTAGATTTTCTTCGAAATTATCCAAAAATACTTAGTTTATGAGCTATGGGAAGCTATTTAGGGTTATTTAGAGGGGTAGAAATCTATTATTTTATTAATTCGAGTGGATTCTATTCGAAATTATCCAAAAATACTTAGTTTATGATCTATGGGAAGCTATTTAGGGTTATTTAGAGGGGTAGAAATCTATTATTTTATTAATTCGGGTAGATTTTCTTCGAAATTATCCAAAAATACTTAGTTTATGAGCTATGGGAAGCTATTTAGGGTTATTTAAAGGGGTAGAATTAATAAAATAATAGATTTCTACCCCTCTAAATAACCTTAATTAGCTTCCCATAGCTCATAAACTAAGTATTTTTGGATAATTTCGAAGAAAATCTACCCGAATTAATAAAATAATAGATTCCTACCCCTCTAAATAACCCTAAATAGCTTCCCATAGCTCATAAACTAAGTATTTTTGGATAATTTCGAAGAAAATCTACCCGAATTAATAAAATAATAGATTCCTACCCCTCTAAATAATCCTAAATAGCTTCCCATAGCTCATAAACTAAGTATTTTTGGATAATTTCGAAGAAAATCTACCCGAATTAATAAAATAATAGATTCCTACCCCTCTAAATAATCCTAAATAGCTTCCCATAGCTCATAAACTAAGTATTTTTGGATAATTTCGAATAGAATCCACTCGAATTAATAAAATAATAGATTTCTACCCCTCTAAATAACCCTAAATAGCTTCCCATAGCTCATAAACTAAGTATTTTTGGATAATTTCGAATAGAATCCACTCGAATTAATAAAAATAATAGATTCCTACCCCTCTAAATAACCCTAAATAGCTTCCCATAGCTCATAAACTAAGTATTTTTGGATAATTTCGAATAGAATCCACTCGAATTAATAAAAATAATAGATTCCTACCCCTCTAAATAACCCTAAATAGCTTCCCATAGCTCATAAACTAAGTATTTTTGGATAATTTCGAAGAAAATCTACCCGAATTAATAAAATAATAGATTCCTACCCCTCTAAATAATCCTAAATAGCTTCCCATAGCTCATAAACTAAGTATTTTTGGATAATTTCGAATAGAATCCACTCGAATTAATAAAATAATAGATTTCTACCCCTCTAAATAACCCTAAATAGCTTCCCATAGCTCATAAACTAAGTATTTTTGGATAATTTCGAAGAAAATCTACCCGAATTAATAAAATAATAGATTTCTACCCCTCTAAATAACCCTAAATAGCTTCCCATAGCTCATAAACTAAGTATTTTTGGATAATTTCGAAGAAAATCTACCCGAATTAATAAAATAATAGATTCCTACCCCTCTAAATAATCCTAAATAGCTTCCCATAGCTCATAAACTAAGTATTTTTGGATAATTTCGAAGAAAATCTACCCGAATTAATAAAATAATAGATTCCTACCCCTCTAAATAATCCTAAATAGCTTCCCATAGCTCATAAACTAAGTATTTTTGGATAATTTCGAATAGAATCCACTCGAATTAATAAAATAATAGATTTCTACCCCTCTAAATAACCCTAAATAGCTTCCCATAGCTCATAAACTAAGTATTTTTGGATAATTTCGAATAGAATCCACTCGAATTAATAAAAATAATAGATTCCTACCCCTCTAAATAACCCTAAATAGCTTCCCATAGCTCATAAACTAAGTATTTTTGGATAATTTCGAAGAAAATCTACCCGAATTAATAAAATAATAGATTTCTACCCCTCTAAATAACCCTAATTAGCTTCCCATAGCTCATAAACTAAGTATTTTTGGATAATTTCGAATAGAATCCACTCGAATTAATAAAAATAATAGATTCCTACCCCTCTAAATAACCCTAAATAGCTTCCCATAGCTCATAAACTAAGTATTTTTGGATAATTTCGAAGAAAATCTACCCGAATTAATAAAATAATAGATTTCTACCCCTCTAAATAACCCTAATTAGCTTCCCATAGCTCATAAACTAAGTATTTATGGATAATTTCGAATAGAATCCACTCGAATTAATAAAAATAATAGATTTCTACCCCTCTAAATAACCCTAATTAGCTTCCCATAGCTCATAAACTAAGTATTTTTGGATAATTTCGAATAGAATCCACTCGAATTAATAAAAATAATAGATTCCTACCCCTCTAAATAACCCTAAATAGCTTCCCATAGCTCATAAACTAAGTATTTTTGGATAATTTCGAAGAAAATCTACCCGAATTAATAAAATAATAGATTTCTACCCCTCTAAATAACCCTAAATAGCTTCCCATAGATCATAAACTAAGTATTTTTGGATAATTTCGAATAGAATCCACTCGAATTAATAAAATAATAGATTTCTACCCCTCTAAATAACCCTAAATAGCTTCCCGTAGCTCATAAACTAAGTATTTTTGGATAATTTCGAAGAAAATCTACCCGAATTAATAAAATAATAGATTTCTACCCCTCTAAATAACCCTAAATAGCTTCCCATAGCTCATAAACTAAGTATTTTTGGATAATTTCGAAGAAAATCTACCCGAATTAATAAAATAATAGATTTCTACCCCTCTAAATAACCCTAATTAGCTTCCCATAGCTCATAAACTAAGTATTTTTGGATAATTTCGAATAGAATCCACTCGAATTAATAAAAATAATAGATTCCTACCCCTCTAAATAACCCTAAATAGCTTCCCATAGCTCATAAACTAAGTATTTTTGGATAATTTCGAAGAAAATCTACCCGAATTAATAAAATAATAGATTTCTACCCCTCTAAATAACCCTAATTAGCTTCCCATAGCTCATAAACTAAGTATTTTTGGATAATTTCGAATAGAATCCACTCGAATTAATAAAAATAATAGATTCCTACCCCTCTAAATAACCCTAAATAGCTTCCCATAGCTCATAAACTAAGTATTTTTGGATAATTTCGAAGAAAATCTACCCGAATTAATAAAATAATAGATTTCTACCCCTCTAAATAACCCTAATTAGCTTCCCATAGCTCATAAACTAAGTATTTTTGGATAATTTCGAATAGAATCCACTCGAATTAATAAAAATAATAGATTCCTACCCCTCTAAATAACCCTAAATAGCTTCCCATAGCTCATAAACTAAGTATTTTTGGATAATTTCGAAGAAAATCTACCCGAATTAATAAAATAATAGATTTCTACCCCTCTAAATAACCCTAATTAGCTTCCCATAGCTCATAAACTAAGTATTTTTGGATAATTTCGAATA